CCCCCCAATTAATCTGAAGTGTCCCCCCCCCCCCTTAAATCTGAAGTGCTCCCACTGGGGAAAATTTCTGAAAGAAACACTGTTGGCTTGTCACCATCCCCATAGCGACGGAGGTCAGGCAGCGTCCTGTGATACCTACACCATGATGGCCACCAATGTTGGCTTGACTTGTCGTCGCAACGATGTTGCTCATGCTGTAGCTATGCGACATACACTACCCAAGAAAGAAGCAGCCCGCTATTAAATTGTAGTTCCCCTTGGTTGCCCCCGGGGGGGGGGCTTGGTAGCGAGGTTGCATTTCAAGGGTGTGTGGAAAAAGGGAGGGGGGATTAAATTATCAGAAGAGGTGAGACATTAGCTTTTAAGTTATATAAGTTATTATTTTTTTTTTAAATGTCTTCAGTAATATTTTTGTTTTTTAGTGATATTTTTTCCCCAAAGTTCTACAGTTGTCTTTGACATTACATTTCAAATAAGAAATGTTTAAACATAAATGTAAAATGCATTGTTACTTTTTGTAGAGGTTGGGAGGTCTAGTAAAGCATTTTATAGTGGCCTCGAAGCGATACCCTCTATACGAAGCGATACCAATTATACGTAGCGATACAAACTATATGTAGTGTTTTGAGTACATAGAATGTGTGAGAACACTGATAAATGAGCCATGTGTGTACGTACATTTTTAATAATATTAAATGTACACAATTTTTTTTTAAACCATGCTATGCGGCGTCATACCTTTGAGAAAATTATGGCTGGTTCACAGTTTTGCGGGTCCTCTTGAAACAGCTTCGGGTCAAGCGATTTGTCGTCTATAGCTGGACTCGCCGTTGCATGCTGGGTACTCTGGTATAAAATGATACTTAATGTAAACTGTAAAACTGGGGTTTTTTTTCGTCTTTTTTTTTTTTTTTACAATTCAGCGAATGAAGTATTATATATATTTTTTTTAAAGTGCATGAAATATACGGACTATATGTAAAATGAATGAAGTATACGGAATGTATTTTAATTGAATGAAGAATACAGTATACATATTTAAATTGAATGAAATATGCTGTATATATTTAAAATGAAAGAAGTATACATAATATACTCAAAAGAACATAATTTTACAGCTTATTTTAACGTTGAATGAAAAAACCGCAGTAGACCTCATGAATTAAAGCGAACTAAGAAAAGCTGATAAGAAAGGAAAGAAACTTAACTAAGCCCTAAAGTATAGGAAACGATGTATCCATTAAATAAGTCTAGATAATATTATGTTTGAGAGAAAGATTGTTTTTATTTTAAAAAATTTAAATTCCTCCCCAAACGCGCTTCCCCTCATTCAACTTACCCTGAGTTTCTTCCAGAAGGGGCTTGGAGTATGAATCATGATGTAGCACACGTAGGCCAGGAACAGGTACAGCAACGACGAGATGGCTTTCATGCTCTCGAAGTGGGCGTAGTTCATGGTGAACGGCGAGGAGTTGTAACCGATGTTTTTCCATTGGACGCCACACCCTTAGAGTAAGGGGACCATTACTTTCAAATTTAAGTTAGAGTAAGGGGACCATTACTTTCAAATTTCAATCAGAGTAAGGGGACCATTACTTTCAAATTTCACTCAGAATTAGGGGACCATTAATTTCAAATTTCACTCAGAGTAAGGGGACCATTTCTTGCAAGTTTATCTTAATGACTTTCAAATTTCACTCAGAGCAAGGGACCATTTCTTTCAAATTTCACTCAGAGTAAGGGACCATTTCTTTCAAATTTCACTCAGAGTAAGGGAATCATTTATTGCAGGTTTAACTTAATTACCTTCACATTTTACTCAGATTAAGGGGGCCATTTCTTTCAAATTTAACTTAGAGAAGGGTAACATTTTGAATAGAATGAAAGACCAGGTCGACAGGCAGCTACGAGATCAGCAGGCTGGCTTCCGCCAAAACAGGTCATGCACAGATCAAATTGCAGCACTAAGAATCATTGTAGAACAGTCAATCGAATGGAACACCCCATATATATACATTTTATAGACAAAGAAAAGGCCTTTGATAGCCTGGAACAACAAACCTTGTGGAAACTTCTTCGGCTTTATGGAGTACCAGGAAAACTAATCAGGATCATTCAGAGCTCTTATGAAGAAATGACATGCAGGGTGCTCCACGAAGGTAGACTCAAAGATACCTTTACAGTCGAACAGGAGTCAGACAAGGATGTCTCTTGTCCTCATTTCTATTCATCCTTGCCATTGACTTGATAATAAAAAAATCCACAGACAATAAGAGGAATGGGATAAACAGGACACTCTGAGAACAACTGAATGACTTAGACTTTGCCGACGACATTGAGCTTCTGTCCCACAACCAGCAACAAATGCAGAAAAGACAAAAGACGTAGCCACCTTTTCAGCAAAACTTGGTCTCAATATAAATAAAAGCAAGACACAAATCATGAAGGTAAACTCATCAAACCAAGAACATATCTGTCTGGCAGGAAAGTCACTGGAAGAAGTGGAGTCCTTCACATACTTAGGCAGCACCATAGACACAAATGGCGGATCCGACGCGGACGTAAGGGCCAGAATTGGAAAAGCTAGATCTGCATTTGTGCTATTAAAGAACATATGGGAGTCAAGGAGCTGAAACTGCAAACCAAAGTTAGAATCTTGAATACAAATGTCAAAACAGTTCTACTATATAGAGCTGAAACTTGGAAAGCAACAGCGAGCATTACGCAGAAAGTGCAGACATTCATAAACACATGCCTTAGAAAAATCCTGAACATCAAATGGCCAAATACCATCACCAACAAAGATCCACTAGAAAGGACATACCAGGTGCCCACTGATAAAGCTATCATAAAGAAAAGATGGAGGTGGATAGGGCATACGCTCCAAAAAAAACCCCCCAGATTGCACCACCAGATAATGCTTAACATTGAACCCACAAGGAAAGAGAAAGAGAGGAAGGCCTAAGAATACATGGAGACGTGAGCTAGAGGCAGACCTGCAAAATATGGGATACACCTGGAAGCAATTGGTAAGGAAAGCATAGGACCATGATGAGTGGAAAATTCTTGTAGATGGCCTATGCCCCGGACGGGGTTTAAAAGGCATATGAAGAAGAAAGAAGGGGACCATTACTTTCAAATTTAACTCAGAGTAAGGTGACCATATCTTTCAAATTAAAAACCAGGAAACGTAAATCCGTTTTAGGCACCATGGGTTCCCAAAAGGAAACAATTATTTCTGTCTGTGAAGCTTTTGAAGGAAAAAAACAAACACTTTCTTGATTCTGATTTGGATGAATATAATATTTTTAGTTGCTTTACTTATTTGTGCCTTGATATAACATACACACGATCTTGTTATGTAGCACTTTCCCCATGCCGTGAACTCTTGTTGACCCCAGATTGGACTGCCTTCGCGTTGGGCGTGGCATATTTTCTGTTGATCTGTCGTCTTTACTGCCGACTACCAATTAAAGATGGTTAGTCTGTCTTCTAGTATCTTGTGGAACCTTCTCGATTTGACGAGAAAGTTAACAATGTCTAAGTCGTTTCTGGAAAGCGTCTTACGCTGCATATATAAGGGATTGACAGAGACAAAGATTCACGGAGTGACGGAGATTGATAGATAGATATTTTTAACTTTACGAGACAAGTGTATTATTCTGTGTGTCCTCATACGTGTTTGTTCGCATTCATCATTGTACTTCAACAGACACATTGTACCAATTGTGTACTGGTACAAGACTTCTCATACTCTGTAAATTTATGATTTGTAATTATATTTCTTTTATTTTGTAATTATATCAATACTTGATACCCAAATAAATCTTATTAATTGTAATTAGTATTGTTTTGGGTGTCGCATTTTTGCAATTGTATTTCTCTACGGTATCGTCCATTTGTTGTGCACTGTTTGAACGAGCCACAACTAAAAAACAAGAGATTTATTTCTCACAATAGAAGCCAGTGCGCAACAATCTATTGGTCAATTAATTATGATTGATTGTGTAGTATTTAATTATACTGTGTTCAACGCACGACTACTCAAGACACATGTAGGTACTGGTAAAGAGTAAAGACGGTACACATTGTCACACACGCAGCCAGTGGCGTGGACAGAGGCGGATAGCTGTAGGGACCAAGCTTATAATCCTAGAAGAATTATCAAGCCTTGTGGATTTATGCGAAGTCTACACCATCGTCACATTGTGACGGACGGATGTCAACATACTATACTGGTAAAAAACAGTACGAATTGTCATCTTTCCTAACCTTTCCTGTAAATAAGATTCTCTTCTGATGAGGTAGCGGGACCAAGCTAGCGCTCTTTTATGGTTCCGGCAAAGCACTGTTCGGGTGTGCCTCATCCGTTGGTTGTCTGCCCCTCCACTCGGGGTGCTCGAGTACTCGGCTAGCAAGTACTCCATTGTCTCCGGCGCCTGTCCGCTGTGATGGCAGCTTGGGTCCCGCAGCGGTTGTAGCCTGTTGAATGTAGCTTCATTTAGGACAATGTTCTATTCTCCTCTGGGTATTGAGGCTCTGGTGCTCTCGTTTCAAACGCCACCATGATCTCCCCTTTCAGTTGGTTCGTGGCATTTTTAGTCACGTTTACGGGCTGTCACGCCGTTTTCACAGTTCTCTGGCCAGACCGCTCTGAAGAGGTCTTTTATACAGGCCGTGACCCCAAGCTGGTTCCTTGACCGGTTTGGTTGTGGTTGAGCAGTTTTTGCCTGGCTAGATGGTCACCTTTTTCATTTTAGGGTAATCCCGCGTGTCCTGGGAGGTAGCGGCCTACATTTGAGTTGACTCCTCTCACAACCGAATACACATATAGGCACATGAGAAGCCGTACATAAATACATACATACACTACTAACATTTACAAGAGAAATCTCTTGAGTCTAAGCAATATAGAAAATAATATTTTCTTTTGCCGACCTGGAATCTAATATATACAATTATAGGTCGATAACGAGTAGATGACAAATCGGTTGAAAGCCACGACCACAGAATATAAGATAGATAACTGCCGACCTCACGGGTAGTGAGTGAGTTGCGGGCCTTATAATAATAATATAATGTAGAATCATTACTTTTGTTAACAGTAGTGGGCAAGACAGGCATACCAGAACGTTCTGCGGCGGCGAAGACCAGCAGACCGAAATACAGGTTGAGGTTGACCAGAAGGCCCAGCGCTGGGCGAGACCAGCTTTGGCTCGTGAGTGCTCTGAGCATGTAGATGAGGGACACGTGGAAAAAACATGCAATTGCGACGCAGGTCTTAGCTGTTAAGGAATATAAATGGTGAATCCGTCAGTTTATTAAATTATTAATATTATAGTGAGTCATGGCAAAGAAATAAAATAAAATCTGATGGCTCTTTAAAAAATAATTGTGTACCAATACTTAATTGTTCATATATATTTTGTCTTTACATAGTGACTCATGGCAGAGGCATTTGTCCAATCCCTATTGTCAAATAAAGCATAAACTGAAATTAACATTGATTTTTTAAGGCATTGACATAATAATATGTGTTGTTTAAAAAAAAAATACTCTAGTGCAATGGTTCCCAACCTTTTGACTCGCGGAGTTCTTTTTAGAATACATTTGTCTAGTGTAGCCCTTATGGCTTAGTCTATGTTTATCGAATTAATGGTGTTATTTTATTTCTCGGGGCGGCAAAGGAGCCCCTGAGAGTGATTGTGGATCACCTGGGGCTCTACGGAACACACGTTGCAAAACGCTTCCCTAACACGATAGTGTCCCAAATGTGTACATCTGCAATTCACTACTAGTCCCCATTTAATCAGCGTACTGGGGCTGCCTAGCCAAAACCATCTTAATCTCTTCGTAGTCACTCTTCTTTGATTCAAAAATAGGTTGGCGGACAACTTAAGAACAAAGTGGTAAGGGCAATGGGCAGACAGCACGAATCCCAGAGTTTTTCCACGATAACGGGCCCCCGACCCACCAAGTCATATCCAGGGGGGAAACTAAAACGGCAGCATCATTAGAGTCGGTTACTCGATTCGGACGGAACACTGACTTACTAAGTTCTACTTTAACAGGCAAGACCGCAACAGGGAACCGAACTGCCAGCATTGCACATTGGTCACCGAAACGGTGACCCACACTTGATTTTGGGACGGCCTGGGTGGCAGGCGGATTCCTCGTTAATAATGTGTAACATAGCACGGCCAAGCAGATGGGGGCTTATTTCAAATGTCTTACCCGGGGGGGGGGCAGATAGAGCAAGCGCCTGCTCCCCCCTCCCACAGAACATTAAATAGCCTCCAACGTACCCTCTGTGTGAATGACACTCCCCAGGATGCAGTACGCGGACAGGCTCGCGGAGAAGGTGAAGAAGAAGAACATGACCACCCAGTTGTCGGACAGCATGAAGATCGGGTCGTTGCCCAGTATGGGATACAGCAGCGTGCCGACAAACACCATGGACAGGAGGGTGGACATGGTCAGCATCCACAGGTACCAGGAAAGCCAGTAGACCACGAGGTTCATCCCCATTCGTTTATAAACAGCCTGTAGAAGAGAGAGATTCCAATAGTATGAGTTAAAGAATTCATAAAATAGAGGTAATTGCTATTAATTTAATTTTACGCCATCTTCGCAAGACCCCACCCCCCACCTTACCAGTTAGCCCCTATCTAACGGGACCCCGGCCTCACAAGGATCCCCTCTAACTAATTACTACCGCCTTACACGACCCCCGTCTCACGAATACACCCGTCTTTTCAGGACCCCAACCTTACCTAAACTCCCACCTTACCATAACCCCCACCCTGCCAGGACCCCTACATTACCAGGACCCCCACCTTACAGGACCCCTACATTACCAGGACCCCCACCTTACAGGACCCCCACATTACCAGGACCCCCACCTTACCAGGTCCCCAACCCTCCCTACACTCCCACCCTACCATAACCCCCCCCCTGCCAGGACCCCTACATTACCAGGACCCCCACCTTACAGGACCCCTACATTACCAGGACCCCCACCTTACAGGACCCCCACATTACCAGGACCCCCACCTTACCAGGACCGCCATCTTACCAGGAACCCCACCTTACAAGACTCCCCCTTACCAGGACCCCTATCCTACCAGGACCCTCACCTTACCAGACCCCCCTTACCAGGACCCTCACCTTACCAGGACCCCCCACCTTACCAGGCAGGACCCCCACCTTACCAGGACCCCACTCTGTCGCTCCTTTGCTATCGTGTAGACGTTTCTGCCGATGAAGAACGTGGTGGCCACCACCATGTAGGAGGCTATCCGCAGGATGACGATGTCCACCAGGATCGGGTCGTCCCGCATGCTGTGTCCAGAGAACATCTTCGTGCTGACGGTCACGTTGTAGGTCTTGTTGCTCCATATGCTGGTGAAGGCCTCCATGAGGAGGTACATGTTGTAGAGCTCTCCGGTGGAATCGTAGTCTGATGGAGGGTTCACACATTGGTCAACGGAAATTAATTAAGGAACTACACGGGGTAAAGGGATACATTAAGGGGGAGTGGGGGGAGAAGCAAAATCAGTAAAAAAAAATTATCACACTTGTCGGCAGAAGAAGTTTACTCGGGCAAAATGTCATGATATGAGGCTAGATGTCATGATATGAGGCTAGATGTCATGATATGAGGCTACATGCCATGATATGAGGCTAGATGTCAACATATGAGGTTAGGCTAGATGTCAAGATATGAGGCTAGCAATGTTCCCTCTAAGGTTTGTTGGTTCGTGTGCAAAATCATAAAGTTGTGAGCAAATTTTTACAGCATCAATTTTTTTGTGCGCAAAATTTTACAGCCTACAGACACAAACACACACTTAAGTGGAAATTAGCTGCGGGGTACTCAAAACTGCTGCGCGGCGTCTGTGAGAGTACTGCGCGGCCGCGCAGCCGCGCAGCTTAAGGGGAACATTGGAGGCTAGATGTCATGATATAAGGCTAGATGTCATGATATGAGGCTAAATGTCAAGATATGAGGCTAGATGTCAAGGTATGAGGATAGATGTCATGATATGAGGCTAGGTGTTATGATATGATGCTACATGTCATGATATGAGGCTAGAAGTCAATGTATGAGGCGAGAAGTCAAGATATGAGGCTAGATGTAAAGATATTAGGCTAAATATCATTACATAAGGCTAGTTGTCATTATATGAGGCGAGATGTCATGATATGAGATGAGATGTCATGATATTAGTCTAGATGTTATGATATGAGGCGAGATGTCAAGATATTAGCCTAGATGTCATGATACGAGGCTAGATATCAATATACGAGGCTAGTTGTAATGATATGAGGCTAGACTGTTCATATTTTATGTACCGTTGTGTTGTAAGCATACATTGCTAGAATAAACCCCCCCCCCCACACACACACACATACTTATGTGTGCATCTGTTAAGTTACATTATCTTGTATTGACCTCCTTGTCCCAGGTTAGGTAGCGCTGTCATGCTTATCAATTAGTACCTAGTCGGTTCGGCAACACACCAGCCCACGCACTGGCATGGGAAGGGGGTTGCGGAGGGGGCTTTCTGCCCTGGGCGGCACTTTTTTCTAGATATAAAGGGCGGCATTTTTACCCAACTGCAGAGGTTTTTCGTGGGTAGGGGTTGCGAAAAGCTTTCCCCCACCCCGGTGGCACGCTTTTGGAATAACTTCTTGCGTGAGTGGTCGCATACCAGGCAATAATTAAGCAACTTATTTCATGAGCCACTGTGACTAGGTCAACCATGCAATGATGAATCACCATACCATAGAAATAGCATGTGTCCCACCGGGGTTGCATTCTTTTCCTCCACAAACCTCTCCGGGTGAACCTCGCATAATTACGTGTGAGACCCGTCGATTGAAGATGTGGGCTGGTGTTACCCACCTGGTTTCCGTATTGCAAGCAACCACCGCACCTTAGGCGCCTTAGCATGTTGGATGTGATGATGATGCCCGAGGTCTGATTCCGAGAAGTTGTACATCTTAGCGATGTACATCCACGTACCGAACCGTGAGAGCCTGCATCATTATAGGACCGCGAGTTTCTGGGACTCTACACCCAACACACCGCTGGGACATCCATCCCACAACGCACAGCTGGGACGTCCGTCCCACAACGTACAGCTGGGAGTCCATCCCACAGCGTGCAGCTGGGATGTCCATCCCACAACGTGCAGCTGGGATGTCCATCCCACAACGTACAGCTGGAAAGTCCATATCCGTCCCCAGCCCCGAGAACTTCCAAAGGCGAGGAGATTAGGCCCCACTTCCATCAATGACGGGACCTCATAAATCAATCGATCTAACATGATCGTCAATAATAATTCTTATTTGTATGTATAAGTCGCATAGTAATACCATAACCCTCTTCCTACAAAGCATAAAGAAATGATGATGAAATGTTAGGTCTATACAGTAGGTCTATAATCTTTAGTAATTAGACACAAGGTGATAAATTATTTTGCAACCGTTGGACTAATCTATGCCTATGAGAATTTGATTTGACACATTTGTAAGACTCTATTAAGTTGTGCAAATTGATGTAGATAAATAGGTTAGTTTCATTCTAATGAAATTGGTTGGAGTCTTCTTTTAAACTACTTTTAAGTGCATATGAATGAGAGTACGTTTTTTGCGGTTCATTTGAAATTATTTTCAAAACCCCGAGATACGAGCAGTTGAGAATTCATTCAAGAGTCATCAAGCAATAAGGTAATATCACCACACTTGACACTCGGGCTCAGTGTTTCTTTCAGAAAATTTCCCCCTTGCCCCCCTCCCTGCGGGCGCCCATGTACGGAAATCAAATTATGAAAATGAAAAACGTCTCTTGAAAATAAGCTGGAGTCGTAAATGCTTGTAGATTCTCTCAAGAAAAAAAAGCAACAAATAGAATAATAACGCACGCTAAATTCAGATCCAAACAAAACGAATCTCTTAAAATGTAAATAATGTGACAATGACTATTTGTATAAACGTCAAACAGTTGTACGTGTACATTTAATGCACGGAACTTGTCATTTAGAAAGTGGCAAAACTTCATTACCGGGTTTTCCCTTTCGACCCATCCAATCGGTGTCGGAAGTGGGACGCATGACGAACTTCATCTCCTTGGGCAGCTCTACTGAATGGATGGTCATCGGGTCAAAAACGTAACTGTACGCCAGCCTTGTGGGGTATTTCTTGACGTACTTGACCAGCGTGTATTCAGACGGGAAGCCCATAATTTCAACTGTGAATATCGATTGTGGGGGATTCAGGTGACAACAACTAAGCACGTGCACCTAGGTCAACTCAAAACGTTTTATAATTATTATTATTGTTAATGTATATATATAAATATATATGGATAAGCCCATGCAGTATGTTTAGTCGGTATAGAAGCAGATTTGCATGGCTAGTCTGGAAAACACCAACCGCAATTTAATAATCCGATAATAAGCCAATGGATGTCATTGTAACGCATTATTTTTTTTAAAAAGTTCATATTTAAAAACAAACATTCACTGAAACATAGAATGACATCCTAAATATATCATTGTAATGGCCCCTTAAGAATGACTTCCTAAAGATATTATGGTAGTGACCCCTTTAGAATGACTTCCTAAAGATATTATTGTAAGGGCTCCATTAGAATGACAACCTAATGATATCATGGTAGTGGCCCCTTCAGAATGACAACCTAAAGATGTCATGGTAGTGGCCCCTTTAGAATGACAACCTAAAGATATCATAGTAGTGGCCCCTTTAGAATGACGGGCATTTTTACTAGTACATCAACCCATAATGCAGTTGGAATGTTTCCCCCGTTAACCCTTTGAGGTTCATACACCAGCTCGCACAAATCTCATTTTACTTACCGTCAATGACGTTCCCGGGCAAACCTCTCTTGATTAAAATCTTGCGAAACCTTTTCATGAGCTGATCCCCCGCTGAACATGCAGGGGCGTAGCCGATAAGTATGTACCCTTGGAACCCCACCCGGAATTGTCTCCTCACGTTTGCGGTCAAGGGGACGCTCGTCGTTTCGTTGTCCACACGGCCCACTTCCTGGGGCGCGAACGGCACGAAGAAATGCCGCAGGGTAACCATGAGCAGAATGTACAGGGCTAAGACAAAGAGCTCCAGACAGCACAGTTGGGTTTTTCTCAGCAGAGTGTTTTTCCAGAACAACACAAACATTTGACAGACGACAGTGGCGATGGCGTTGGCCATGATTCAATGTGTATCCGGACTGCTGGCTAACAGTACAACAGAAATGTGACGTAGTCTAGATCTGTAGTTAAAAATGTCTTTGTCAATTATAGAGCTTGCCGACCACTGCACCGTACTCTACAATGATGATTAACCCAGAACTGATAAAACAGTTTGCGCTAAAATACCAGACAAGGAGACAGATCTTAGGCGTTATGAAATGTGTAAAAAGTATCATGGTTCATGGTCCATGGAGGAAAAATAACCCCCAAGACCCGTGCATCTGGAATTAGTATTGTAGATTACGCACCCCTTCCCATATTTTACAAGTGCAGTGTCGTTGGGTTGTCCCAGCTATTTTAAAATATTTTCTTAACAAGCAAAAAATAATACAATAATACATAGACTACTAATATTTCGTTCAAAGACTCAATAAATTTCTATAGCGAAATTTCTATGCTCCAACCATCGGTCTCTATTATTGTATTGAAGAAAAAAATGTCTATATGCAAGTATGATCGCTCATACAATAGATAATAAACCATCAGCCTGTATATTTTGGATTGAAAAATGTATACAGATATGGTGCTAATACATTTCAAAAGAAATACGGGGGAAAAAAAAAGGGGGGGGGGGCTGTCTTCGTTCCGGTTGAAGCAGTCAGTAATTTACAAAGGTTAGGGGGAAACCTGCACAACGACAATAAAAGTTCAAGGCAAAGACAAACAGCTCTAGACAGAGACAAACACTCATAGCTGGTTGTATAGATATGTAGTCTTCGGGCTATGGTAGCCATATTCAACTACGGAAGTGACCCGTGGATATGACTCAATATGGGGCAAATATCATAGAAAGAACACAAAAGGACAACTGGCAAATGGGTTCTTGCTTTACCTACATATATTTGTAACTCTAGACTCTTGGCTAACCCAAAGAGAGAAGAGAGAGGGAGAGAAAGAAGAGAGAGAGAGAGAGAACAGTTGAGGCGACAACACTAGACACATTTGTGTCTATTGCCTCAAGCCTTCAAACCCCTAGTGCATAATTTCCTCATCACCACCAGTAACAGAAACATTGCAAATCCCATCTACATGCATAGGAGCCAAAATGATCAATAAATTGATCGTGGGCCCTTATCCCTAGTGCATAATTTCCTCATCACCACCAGTAACAGAAACATTGCAAATCCCATCTACATGCATAGGAGCCAAAATGATCAATAAATTGATCGTGGGCCCTTAAGATATAGAAGAAGAAGAGAAGAGAGAGAGAGAGAGAAGGCGAGAGACAGACAGGGAGAGAGAGAGGGGAGGATAATCAAAATATTAATTTTTAAATTTTGTATGGTTCAAAAAACGACATTGCAACCATCGGCCGGTCTTACTGGATTTTAAAAAAAAAATGTACATAGATATGCTGCTAATACATTTCTATTTAAAAGAAATTGCGATACCACAAATCAGTCGTCAGATATCAAGCGGACGGCATGCTCACTTTACTTGAATGAGACTGACGGGCAGCTCAGAACGGTAGCACCGATTTGTATTGCCTACTTTTGGATTTTCCCGAAATCTCTCTCTGACGCGTGCAATTGGCGGGGAGCGAAAGCAGAGGAATCTTCATCCCGTCTGTTGATTGGTTCGTTATAATAAACCCAAATGTGTAAATAATGCTTTCTATGAGTAGGCAAGTAATCTCACTTGTAAAGTACTCACTATCATGTCGACTTCGTCCAGATTTTATGGCAAGACTTCCGAACTTTTCGAAACGCCTACATCAACGCTTACATCAAATCACAAACATTGAGATCTCACCTTTTTTTTAACGCTTCAAATGATGTTTGTAGTCTGCAATGTCAGAACTTTTAAGAATAGTCTGAAGTTCTCACGGATTTTTATTGACTTGTTCTATTAGGTCAAATTTTAATGACCTGCCCATTTATAAATGGACGGTTGACAAGATTCTCCCTAACCCATAGCTCATCTTATTAAAAAAAAATCTCCTCTGTTAACTCGCCAATAAAAACACGTTAATCTCTGATTTGTGGAAATTCTCTCATGAGTTTCAGATTTCGTCAGATAAGAAAAAAAAAAGTGCTATTTGTATGAGATGTTTACGTAAAACTCAGCTAGGCTCTCGTGTCAGTGGCCAGACAGTGGCTAGACGGTGGCCAGACAGTGGCCAGACGGTAACCAGACAGCGGCAACGCGGTGGTAGACGGTGGCCAGACAATTAACTTTTTACAACGATTTAAAAAAAAAAAAAGAAAGATATTAAACAGCTCCCTGTGCGATCGTGGCAGTTTCTAGTTCGTTTAAAAAATGGAAAGATTGGCTATTGATGAAAAAATTTCGCAGCGCATAGTAAGTCTCAGTTTACCAACGCATTGCCAATTTTTTCTATGATTAGTCTAGTATTTAAATTACGCGTTAAAAAAAAAACGTGATTTACAAACTCAACAGATGAAGACGACAGAGTGAGTTTAAAATAACGGTAAAAATAGTTGTTACGTTTTATTTTAGAACGTCGTTTTTTTTTTTTTTTAAAAAGTCTGCTGGGGCAGCGTTCCCCCAAATCATGCTTGCTCAACATACGGCCCGCGGACCACATGCGGCCCGCAAGGTCCCACTCTGTCCCCCGCAAAGTAACTCAGAGTGAGTTTAAAATAACGGTAAAAATAGTTGTTACGTTTTATTTTAGAACGTCGTTTTTTTTTTTTTTTTAAAAAGTCTGCTGGAGCAGCGTTCCCCCAAATCATGCTTGCTCAACATACGGCCCGCGGACCACATGCGGCCCGCAAGGTCCCACTCTGTCGCCCGCAAAGTAACGAAATATTCTTTATTATCATTATTTTCTTAATAGCGTTACCCCCTTGTCCTATTTCCTTTCGGCCCGCACAAGTATTTTTACAAAGTATTACGGCCCGTCTTACAATTTGAGTTGTGTGGGCCCTAAATAATGGTGGTGCACGGATCGGTCCATCCACTTGACGTTACTGATCCACACAATATGATTATTTATGGTCATTTAAAAGGAAACATGCTAAATAAATTTGGCATCGGTCCTTGGTGCAATTTCAAAACTTGTCCACCGGTCCGCCAAACTAAAAATTTGGGGAAACGCTTTCCTAGATCGAAGTGTTTATTCGCAGCCGGGTACCAGAAGTGAGAGGTTGGGATTTTAAAAAAAATATTTAAAATACAATCCTAGATTTCACCGTTTTGGGAAAGGCAGTGGCGTAATTAGGAGGTGAGGGGAGTGCGGACCGCACCAGGTGACACCATCTCAGGGGTGACACTCAATAGAAAATTTTCATATTTACAGAGCACACACTGCTCGGTCTAACCAAATTTCATAAAAGCATAACCGACAGCACGTAAATTTTCCACACATTTAACCAATCCAAATGTTGGGGGATGTTCAAAGATGCTTTAGAAATCCAATAAAAAGAAAAACGAAGCGCTGTATAATTCAGTGTTAGTTAACTATTACTTCCTGGATAAGTGGGGACTGAAACAAGGTTCCAAAAGAAACAGTTGAGGCGATAACACTTGATAAACTTGCGTCTATTGCATCACGCCTTCCAACTCCAAGTTGAGTAGCCAGTGAAATATTCTCTTCTATACCAGGCACAGAAATATCGTAAATCCCCTCTACAGGAGGTGGGGTGTTAAAATGCTCAGTAGATTTAGGGGGGCGCTGGGACTTCTGTGGGTGGTGGATCCCATGCAAAGCATAGGCCTACGCTATAAAATGTAGGGATGTAGAAGTAAGTTATTATTACTAAGTGCTTAATGTTAGTTCTACTTTTAAAAAGCTGTAGTATAAATGGATAAAGTTTATCAATTTATTATTGAATTAATTAAAGAACAAAAGAATTAAAAATTTAATTAACCTTTATTTACATAAAACATGATAACATTTTATTGTGTTGTAATCTTTCTTGAACAGGCTTTTTATTACTACTGTCCCGGGTCATTGTTTAGTAACAAGGGGTGTGTGCTATGGTTGGGTTCATGGTGCCAAGGGGGGTAGTGCGGTGCTTTCTTAAGGCATGGGCACAGTGGGCACTTGCCAAGGGCCCCACGCTTCTAAGGGGCCCCTTGCTTCTAGGAGACTCAATCTTATAAAGGCTTCATGTTGCAATTATTGTTAATGAATATTGAACAGTTATGGCAATTAAAATTTATTTAAACATCAGTGGACAGCACGTTTCCCAATTCTAACCCACGATTTTATCGGCATGTTCCAAAATTAATTTTATAAATGCGAATAACAAGTTGGATACATTTTAAACCTTTAAAGGGGAATAACTCTCGTCAACAAGTTTTACTTCTCCCAGATATGAATCGAAAAATAATAAAGTTAGAGCATTTGTTTACAATCATGTTAGACAAAGATGTTGGCCCCGGGCGGTAATAACCCTAGATACGCCTCTGCTCCGTATTGATATTAGTGGAGAAAAATCTATCCTAGCACCAGTTAAATTACTACTGAATTTAATTAGCATTATATCAGGAATTTGTAGGTCAACAATGAATAATTCTTTTTCAAAGTAAATTTATTTTAAAAAAAAACACACACAAAAACCCAAATAACTTTATATTTTTTAAACAGAAAAATATTTTGTGTTCTGTGTCTGAAAAACATATTTAGATGATACATAGAAATAGAACCCAACAGTCACCGTATGTCTGAGCTGTAGGCAGAAATATATAGGCTTTTAGACATACTTTGTGCTCACTGTTTAAAGCTCAAAGTCATTATCTTACACGCCGGGTAGCTCAATTATAGAGATCGATTTTTATTAAGGGCGCCATTTCTATTGATCATTTCTCGATGTTCGTTTTTAGAGGGGCACGTGTCAGTCTGAAGGGAGAGACAAATCCATTTTTAAAAAAATAATTACCTGTATCTTTTAAACGGATTGCTGCTATTACTATTGAAGTACTTGTAACCAATGTATATATTTCTACGTGTTTAATCCCTTAACCGGGAATAAAAAAAATTAGTTTTGTAATTGGAGCACAGAAGACAAAAAGAGCTGAGGGGACAAGGAAAACGGGTAAACTTGGGAAATTAACATCTTGGTTAAATCCAATCCAAATATCAGTGACTAATAATGCTCATCAAAATAAAAAAAAGCCTCATCTACATCCTCTATTGGATCCAGCCATCTAGTTCCAGACAATACCATTACCTATTTCCTCTGCTAGAGAAATTGTAAAATTTTAAACACACAAAGCTGTGTCAGAAAACGAGAGTGTGATTCACGACACAGATCCCAAGCTTTGGAATATTAAGAACACTTGTACAGTTGAGTAATGAATCCGCTGTTGGCCATCATTGTGTCAGAATCATGACTGCAACCTTTCAAACTCACGGAGAGCTGGATAATAAAGAACTAAGACACGGTATTTATCAAGAAATATGTTCAAACGTGAACTGCGGAATGTCGAGTGTGTAAAACTTGAATGTCTTCTCTACTCACCATACCAAGGTTGTTTGTATTGTTTTGCGTGTCGTCTATTGTCCAAAAAAAATTATTTCCCTTTGCTATATCAGGATATAAGCACTGGAAACATAACAATCTAATGTAGAACATGAAAATTGAGTAGTGCATTGCAAGGACATGACTGCATATTTTCTTCGACTGTAAGAAGCGAGGTGTTTAATCAAAGACCATAGGTCAAAACAGAAGCACTGGCATCAAGTTCTGACTCGTGGGGTTTATGGCGTTCGCTTCCTTGCCTCCAGAGGTTTGGGTCAAACTATTGGGTCAGTAAGCAATGGAAATTGTTTAGGTATTTTAGAGCTGCTCAGTAAATTTAACCCTTTTTTGGAAGAGTATCTCAAACTGTATGGAAATGCTGGAAAGGGTAACACATCATATCTGTTGGCAAATATTTGAGAAAAAATTATTGATCTAATGGAGCAACTTTTCTTTTGTGCTATTCTGGAAGAAATTAAAGATTCAAAGTATTATTTCAATAAGTTCTGATTCCACTTCAGACATTTCACACATTGATCAACTGACATTTACGGTCCGGTACATTCGAGGATGAAAGTCTGTGGAACGTTTTATCAAGTTAATTTCCATATTTTCCCATAGAGCAATGGATCTAACAGACAGTGTTGTGTATCAAAGGATCTAACAGACACTGTTGTGTATTAAAGGATCTAACAGACAGTGTTGTGTATCAAAGGATCTAACAGACATTGTTGTGTATCAAAGAATCTAACAGACACTGTTGTGTATCAAAGGATCTAACAGACACTGTTGTGTATCAAATGATCTAACAGAGACGGTTGTGTATCAAAGGATCTAACAGACACTGTTGTGTATTAAAGGATCTAGAAGACAATGTTTTGAATTTCCCGAATGAGAACGAAATTCCGCCTTCAATTTGCAGTGGTCAATCAATCGTATGACAAAAATTAAAATTTATATATAGGTCTGGACGCTACACTGGATTGCAAGCACGAGTTTGCCGTGTATGTCCGTTGTGCTGGACACATCCAGAACTTAGTGGGCTTAAAAGAAGCAGAGTGTTGTCTACAACTTGGAAAATTATTTGACTTTGTTCAGCGCCTATATACCCTTTTCTCAGTTTCCACACATCGATTGTAGTATGTTCTGGTATCTTCCTTAGGAAAATCTCTCGTTGTCGTAAAGCATCTGTCTGACGCAAGATGGTCGGCACATTTTGATGCCTTCAAAGTTTCGAAAAAAATACAAGATGCTCTGGGCTCTATATCAGCTGACACTGAACAGGAAAACAAAAAACGAGGTATGAGGCAGAAAGACTAATTAATAACATGGAGGACCTGATAATTTATCATCATCTGGGATGAATTATAATGTATTTCTCATAATTTTTTAAAACCATTATTGCACTGGAATGCATTTTTGTGTATAAATAAGTTGAGTTAACCTATTTTTAACTTTATTGAATGTTTATTCTTATTTTATTCTTATTTTACAATGTTATTCCTCTTGGTGAGTTGGGTTGGGAGCAACAACTGTTTGCGCCCCCACTGTTTTAGCATGGGGCGAGTGCCCCACTTAGCCCCCCTTCTAACGACCCTGGTGTGTTGTGTTGCTGGGGGCCCCAGTGCATTACTGTGCCCAGGGCCCCCTATGTTCTTAAGACGGCCCTGGGTAGTGGTTGAAAAAGTTTGCGATCCACAAATCACTGGTCTACAATTTCAACTTTATTTTATAGCTTAGTGTTAACAGAAGCTTTCCAGTGGCGCAGCTGCGCAGGGGGAAAAAAAAAACTTTTGAGAACCGGGGAAGACAAATTTAATGTGATTTTAAAAAAAAAATATTATTAATAAATTAATGTGTTAACATGTTACTTTTTTAATGAGTTTAAAAAAATTATTGTTTTTTGATGTTGTTATTTTTTTTTAAATTATAGAAGTCGTTAGTCGGTCCCACTTTCTTTGCGCCACCCTGTACTCTTGAAAATCTTTTAACATAATAATGTTTTAATTTCTTTATAAGGCTTAGCCCAGGGGTCGGCAACCTGCGACTCGCGAGCCGCATGCGGCTCTTTTGATGTCAAGATGCGGCTCTCCCGTTCCATGCGCAAATATTAATAATTATATTGAAATAAAAATGTTAGTGGCTCTTTAAAAACTGTAAAATTTTGTAAATTGTAACTTTTGGCTCTTCCGTTTCAAAAGGTTGTCGACCCCTGGCTTAGCCTAATAATTAGCCTATATCCTTCAATTGGTTGATAGACATTTTGTATGATCTTATAAGTTTTTTGTTAAGATAAATTCTAGAGTCGTCATTTTCGTGAAATATTGATTGAAATCCCCCCTTCCCGCAAGACTAAAATGTAAAAAAAAAAAAATTATCATAGAAACCTGTCTGTAATCGAATTTAGTTTCCATTCTAACAAACTATTTTATTTCACATCAATCCATTTAAAAAAATGGATATTGGCCGAGTCGAGGGACTCAAATTTAATATCAAACAAATTAAATTAATTGATTGACATGACACGGCAACTGGGCCCTGAGTTTGCCTTGCTAGCTCTTTTGCTTTTTCGATTTAATGAATAGCTCACTGAAAACATTAAGTTGGAATTGCGAAATAAATATTGGTGTATTTAATTTAAATTTATTCTGCTGATTGCATTTAAATTTAATTGCACCGTCCTGGAGATTCAGCGTTAATTTGTTACACTGGTTTACTTCAACTTTAATACTTCCCCCCACTGTTATAGTAATAAGGCATTTTTATTTTTAGCAGAAGGAAATTCCTTGCGTCATTTCCGGCAATGGCGAAAGTCTTTGTTGATAGACTAGATGACAAATCATTGTATCTAAGATACTTTTATTTTTATTGGCATTAAGGTAAATATCCTTTGCAAGATATTTTCAGCCAAAAATACATACATATCAAAATAAAATCCTGGATTATATTTCTGAATAATAGGCCTAATTTTTTTATTTCCCCCCCCCCCATCTACTACTAGCATCCGACTTGAATCTAAAAAATAATGTGTACTTGTACTGTTGTACTTGTACTACTTCTATATTATTAAAAGAGCAATACAAAAATAAAATATACACATTTAGTATTTAGAAATTAGAAAGAGAATTTAGAGACGAAATAATTGATTTATTAAATTTACTGATTTATGCCTATATTTAAGACAATCACAGTCAAAAAAAACATGTGCAGGCCCAGGGAATGGTTAATTTTGTATATCACTCAGAGCTTATTAATTGCTTCAAATTTCAAAGTACCTCTGAGTCTGAGAGACTTATAGTAGATATTTGAACTTAGTTTGGCTAAGGATACTAAGATGGGTCATTCACAAAAATTGGAATATATTAATATTTTTATATTACCTTACGGAGATGTAGCAGGCTTAATCAATCAATTATTTACCTAAAGTCTAAGTTAAAGGTTTAGTCAATTTAGACTAGACTATTTGGTAAATGAGTAGTTAGTGGCATGGGCTTTGCCAAGAGTGGTCTCACCCTAATAAGCGCAGTGACATCAGTTTGGGGAATCCCAACTGCCAACACTTGACAAAGGGTGACAGGACCAACAGTTTGACCTGAACGATGTGTATAATACATTGCCCATTCTTCACTGTCACTGATCATTATTTGCATCATAAACATAATCTGCTGATCAATAGTCAATATGAAATACATTAAAATTAATTTTTCCATTCATTTTTACTAACATTCATCTTATAATGTTCAAAAGAAATACGAAGTGTCCACATGTCCGGCGCGCCGGACAAATAGTGTGGGAGATATACGTCCGGCGAGCATGTCACGTGACCGCCGGACGACTAGTAGGCGTTATTATTCCGAAGGAAATATCTACTAAGAAGATCTTGTGTAGTAATGTGGTAGTGTGGCCGCTTGACGATATTATATTTGTGGATCGCTTCCCCTCATGGGAACCCTTTTTTCCCCCAATTTTAATTGAAAATATTTTATATTATATTTATATTATCATTTTCATCAGCAACAGTAGTTTTATGAGAAGTTTTAAAATATTTGTAGCAATTTAAACAATTTAAAATGTTTACTTACAATTTAAAATCTTTTACTTTTATTGGTTGCCTACTCCATACTGAATACTGGCCCATAATTATATTATGGGTTGCTGGTACACAAACTCAAATAACAAACTAAACAAAAATGTTTACAAGCCACTTTCACTTCAATTTTTTTCTATCATTTGCATGCAAGATGTACATTACTTGGTAGAGAAATAGATTTTAAAATTAATAAAAGTTTTGAATCATTCGCGGTCATGTGACAAGGCTGATGGACAAAATATCTCTCGCCACTTTGTTAAGACAGTCATGTGACTTGGTCGCCGGACAAAAAGTGCGGGAGATATACATCCGGCGCGCCGGACGTATAGACACTGCCAAAGAAATAAAACTCATCCTTGCTGATACCCAAAGATGATCTCCAGAAAAATACAAATAATTGCTATTCATTTCTATAATGTCGCAATAATATCAATATAACCCTTCCCCAAACCGTCCCCCATTTTTAAATTTAAAAAAAAAATAAAGTAATTTTGACAACCCTCCCGCCTCACTTTCAAGATAATTTAAAAAATGAGAAAAAGACTTTAATCAAATAAAAAGAGAGCTAAAATTCAAAATCTTTTTTAAAGAAAAACGGAAGTAGTTGCCCAACTGCCTACGGAAACTCCATGACTTTTTACTATTGAACCATCGCTGGCCCTGCAGCAAACTGCATTTTAGCCAAATATTTTAAGCAGGCCTAGTTTAGATGTAACAATATTCTGTATTTAGGCCCATCCATGACTATTTATAATAGGCCTTACACTTGATACAGAATTCGAAATAAACTTAGGCTTACAGTCCCAGTCTGACACACTATTAGCAATTATAATTTTTATTTACTGCAAAAACCACTTTGGTAATGCCAGTATTACTTAATACTTTGCCTGCCACTACTAATCCCCCTCCTTTTTTTGGGATAATCAGGCTTACTGCATAGTGACAGGGACGTGTGAAATGAGAAACCTTTTACAAGAAAAAACCTGTTACGGGCACAAACAAAGCAAAAATAAACAAAATTATAATGATGCAGTGGTGTGCCTAGGGCAGCACTTTTGGGGTTAACATGTTCATATAACATTATTACATGATTGTTATATTATGATGCATGAGATGGGGGAGCATTTTTGGGAGTTCATTGTGGACCGCATTTAGTATATATACACCACCCTGCTTTTGTATCAACAATGTCTACTTGGTGTAAAACAGGGTGCAAAAAATAAGATGTACGGTAATATATAAGATAAAATTCACCTCAGAAAAACAAAGCAATGAAGGGAAGAGCTGTATACTAAAATCATGCCAATAAACTTTCTTGAACTATAGTTAATAAACTGACAAAGACTATATAAAAATATGTATTTTAAACAAAACAATTTTTGTTCTACTAGAATAGCTTTGCCATACCAACCTAGCTTGAGCAAGTGTGGTTAAAATTTGTACATCATCATGTCGGGCGGCGATATAAATCGCCAACTTAGTCATATGTCTGAGGCCTCATCCATCGGTAGCGATGGCAACTCTTCAGAAGATATGGATGAGGACATTGATCACAGCTATTATGTAGATACATCAAATGATCTGAATCTGGACTGCCCTAGTAATACTGATGACCCAGAGTACTTTGAATACGAGCCCCTTCAGTTAATTGATGCAGAAAGGATGCTTAATGAGGAGATTGAAACTTTGTGTATGAAATTAAAGGTACTGAGTGGACGGTTTTACTTTTAAAAAGCATTATTAACGTTTATTGAGAATCTTCTGATTGAGCGAAGAATTTTTCAAATTATTTAATTAAAAATTTTTAATTATTTTTTTACACGTGACATATTGTAGATAGTAATTTAATTTCTAAAAGTATTACTATTTTCATTTCAAACTAATTTTCATTTTAAAAAATCTCTTTTTTTTTTTCTCTTTCTGTTTCACCTTCTAATCTTTAATTTATCTGAAACTAATTCTTTTTTTTAGGTTAATCCATCTATGGCTAAAATGTTATTGCTTCGTCACAAATGGAATAAAGAAGAGATTATTGACAAGTGAGTTCAGTTCACATTAAATTGTACTGTGTTAACTAAAGCTTTATTTTAATGTGTTGAAATGAATGCAGTGTAAGAGAATTTGTATTTGAAAATATATATGTATAAATAAGTTAAATGCTACTGACATTTTTATTTTCAGTTTTCAACGAAATCCAACAGAATATTTAATTGAAAGTCACCTAGCCAGTCGCAGGAGACATGTAAGTTTGATTTTGTGCTATTATTAACACCAAATAAAGGCCAGAAAATGTGATCCTTCTATTGTATTTTTTTTAGACTTAATGTCATCTTATATTAGTAATATAAAAATCACCTTTTTTTCCCCTCTAAAGGACAATTTGATAGGTCAAAGGCCAATATGTTCAGTGTGCTGTGTAGAGTACTCAAGAGACAGATTTTTTGGTGTTGCATGTGGTCACAAGTTTTGCAGGGATTGCTGGGACATGCACTTTCAAATTCAAATTCAGGATGGTATCACTACAGGTAGGTAACTCATTATCCAAAGTATCATTAGAGCTCATACCAGCTCTAATGTAAAACTCAAAACTTCATCCAGAATAAAAATCCCATATTTTCAAGTTATTCACCTTGATAATTAGTTCAAGCAATTGTATTTTCTTAATAAAATTATGGCTCTTACTTATTACCAAATTTAATTTCAATAATAATGACTGTAGCCCTAAGTACATTTTGCAAGATTTACGTTTAAATGCAACAAGCTATGATTAACTAGGAAATAAATGGATTTTCTTGACATCATGAATCTGGGGCCTCAGGGCGGTTTCCATGAAGGTTAAATGACACTGAGGAATGTAATTTGCCATCAGGACCATGGTTTATGTCATTTGTATTTGTAACAACACCAGTCCATCTAGATTTAGCTCTCACCCTTGCCTTGTATCTTTTTTTTTTTGTGTGTGTGCAAAATTCAATCCCAAATGTCTGAATCTGATACCTGGTTGCAAATGTTCATGAAACAGATACGTAAGTGGCTCTATAGAAATGTTTCCCCAGTAGTTGAGCATATCAAACCATCACCACTGCAAACTACATTGATATTTACCATTGGCTGGTAAAGAAAGTAGTATTATTAATAATAATAATTACAATACTGTTTTCTTAACTAGCCAATGTTAAAATAGCTGAAAAAATATTGCTATTAAAAGCTGCCTCAAAGACGTTACTAGTTTGAAACAATTACCATAAAAAGTCCCTCCGGTGTCCCTTGGACCTTGAGCACATTTTAAAAAGTATTTTCCATAATATGGCATCACAAGAAAATATTTGATATTTTTAAAGTAAAATCTTTGTTCTAGTGGGGTGAACACTATTTTAGAACTTGTCTATAACTTCAATTAGATTAGACTGAAAGAATTATTAAAATATTAAATCAAATTATTTTAAGTGGCCTTGTTCATAATTCCACAGGTATTGAGTGCATGGCAAAGGAGTGCCTTGTGCTGGTGACAGAAGACTTTGTTTGCGAAATCCTCAGCCAACCGAAGCTCAGAGACAAGTATTCCAAATTCTCATTCAATGATCTCATCAAGGTAAACCGTCTCGATATGTTTGTCACTTACAGTTTTCGGCTCAGCTTGACGCATTTTAATTTCCTTCCAAACATTTAACACTCAGTTTCAACTCTGTTCTACAGTCTCATCCGAACCTACGCTTCTGTCCCGGCATCGATTGCTCAGTCATCATCAAAGCTAAGGAGGCCAAGGCTAAAAAAGTTGAGTGCCAATCCTGCAAGGCAACATTCTGGTGGGTTGCAGCTTTGTTTATTGGTGCATGTTCTCATCAGTGTATCAACATTGCTGTGCATCACATTGCACTTTCTTGTGTTGCAAACATAGATTATGGAAATGACTGTTAAATTGTTTTAATGTGGAGTTATTTTAAGAAGATGTATCTTCAGCCAATGTTTTTTTCAATAGTTGGTTCTGCAAAAGCTGCACCATTTTCACAGGTGGACAACAAAGTCTTAAAACTGAGAATTATAATTCAATGTACCAGTACAGTAAATCGTTATTAGGCTTTTTTCCACACAAACTAACAAAGTAAAATAGCACATATCAATTACAAGGGAACTTAAGGCATTTCTGTGTTTTACAAGTTAATGTAGTTTTTGATAAGTGTTATGGGAGGAGGGAGTGGCCATAGAGCCCCTGACAGGCGATTGCAGAGCACTTAGGGCTGTTCGGAGCACAGGTTGGGAAAAAGAGGTTATACTTATGATAATGAATATTTGCTTGAACACTCCACAGCAGATATATTTTTTTACTTGAGTGGTTGGTCTGTCAAGTCATTTCAGTTGTTTTTGTGTGTTTTGAGCTAAATGAAGGGTGGAAACCACTAACCTAACCTAATTAAATCCAAGTATTAAAACAACTGTCCAATATTCAACCATATATAGATTCAAGTAATTATTATAATTAAAAATAGAAAATTACCATTGGTCGTAAATGAAAAATAACTGTTCTAACTTCATATGTATTTCAGCTTCAAATGTGGCATAGCTTACCATGCCCCAACCGAATGTGATGTAATCAAACGTTGGCTCACAAAGTGTGAGGACGACTCAGAGACTGCCAACTATATCAGTGCCCACACCAAAGATGTGAGTGACTCAACAACCTTCTCATTCATTACAAAGTTTAATACAATTTTAAGAACTTTATTACGATTAGTGCAAAGTATCCACATTCCTACCTTTAGTCACCTTACATCGGGAACATTTTGATACCACAAAGGTGTCGGGGTTAAAATTCTCTATGATAACTAATGATGTTATGCTAGGCATATAGTAAACAATATGTTCATATAGGGTAAGCCTTTACTTTATTTTGCCACAGCATATTGTATCACAAACTTTTTTTTTTTTTATCGGATAATGTTTTTTGTTTTGTTTTTTTTTTAAATTAAGAAAAAAATGCTTAATCTACTTTTGCACAGCTGCATTTTTCTTAATTAAAAAAATGTTCTATTTGAAATGTATATTCCTATTTAAAAAAAAACAGTAAGTAAGATCATATATGAGCCGCTTTAAAATATAGGAGTTAAAAGTTTTGAAAGGTCCAAGGAACATTTAACTTTTATGACAGAAATAGTAGAACAAGGTATGTGGAAGCTTGAATCGAAAGACTGGACATTAAGAGAAGAACCTATCTGAAAATCTTCTACCATGAATAACAATGGCAAACATTGAAGCTTTTTTAACTAGTTTCTATTTGTCATATTTTCATTTGTCTTATCTATTGAGGAAGGCTCTTGGCCGAAACATTCTTCTCTTACTGTCCTGTCTTTCGATTCAAGCTTCCACATACATTGTTTTACTGTTTTCTTCACACAACTTAAATGCATTCCTTCATTTATTATCCTTAACTCTTATGACAATCATGCATTTTATTTCAGTGTCCTAAGTGCCATGTCTGTATTGAAAAAAATGGAGGGTGTAATCATATGGTAAGTGAAGACAATGTAGCTGGCCATAATTTTTGTTTATGCATTCAGCTCATACACACAAATTCCTTATTTATTTTAATTTATAGTTTAAAAAATTTTTTTAAGTTTTAGGGTAAGGTACATTTGAAGCAGTTTTATACACATCATCAATGCAAACCTGTTTACTCTTACGATTTTGGTGTTCGTTGTATGATTTTGAGATGTCTTTGTATGCCAAACTTATTAAGGCTATGGTTTTAAGTGACCGGGTATAAAATATATACATTCCAGTTACGTTTCCAATTTTCAAAAAAAATAAAAAGTACATTTCCAGATGTTAGTTTAAATTGCAATTGCATTCTAACTCCAGCAATGAATGGATCATGAAATACGATTTGTTTAATAGTGTAGTTGCCCTTGTGACAATTTTAATCAATCCGGGGACATCCTTAAGCAGAGTTGTGTGTGTGTGGGGGGGGGGTTCGATTATTCAGATTTTGCCTACACATGCGTTGATGGTCTCTGCAGAAAGTACGTACCTTATTGGAAAATTGTATAATCTTCATCCTGAAACTCTGATATTTTTTAATGCTGTCAACATATCGTGGAATGTTTTGCAGCAATTATTGTCATAACATTGCCATGTATTTTTACAAATGAACTCGCTAGATATACACAGATGTTACTAAGTAGTAGAGGTATTACTGTAATATTTAGTCAACCATATGTCCAACGTGCATTTGACATATATTTTGTTGGGCTATGCCAGTTGTTCTAAAATTTTCGATTCCCAGCACCTATGCGAAATTCAGGTTTTCACCAGGCTCCCTGTGTTAAATTCTTAGAAGTACACTTCGAAATAGCGAATACGTAAACAAAATTAGAGGGTTGGGTAAAAATAAATATAACACTACGTGGGTAACTAAGCGTCATCTAGTTACTGCAAACATTAGTTACCCCAGTGGGTTACTGTTTGCACCACAATCGCTAAAGTGGAAATCAAATTATGAAAATTTTGAAATGTTTGAAATATCTCGCAAAACCCTTGTGAGCACACCGTGCAACTCGTAGACAAAAAAAAAAGGGGGGGGGGGGTTAGAACATTCAACTTTTTTTGCGTACATACTATCTAGATGACCCTTCCTCCCGTTTATTCATTTTGGGGCTGTGGGATGTAGGTTTGTGTCATAATTATTTTTTATCGTTGAACCATGATGAGTGCAGTAATAGAGAAAACTACAGAGTGCATTCTTCACTGTTCCAGGCAGCACCATTAGATTTCAACATATTTAATAGGACCTGAGGGGTCTTTGAAATTTAATTTTAGAAATCACAAAAGCAGATGTACGATTTTTAATACCCCTCTTCCTGTCACTCAATACAGTTTTTGGTAGTTATCAGACTGTAATATGTTAATGGGAAATATGCATACTGGATATTGATTCTTATTTTTTTAAATTTGATTTTCCTAAAAAAAATAAAAAAAAATAAATAAATAAGTAGTAGTTTTTTTTTAAAATGGCACCCAAATTTGTTAAATCAAATTAATTCTTATTTCAATAAATTTTATTTTATGCTGATCTGACTTTAAGTTTGAACCATGTTAAATTTCAACCGTAACTTTATTTTTACCAGTGACTTACTGTAATAATGTGATCTGCACGTTGACCTAAATATTAATATCTATAGCAGATACCCGTCTGCAAAACAAAGTGACCACAGATTGCAATATAAACTTCGGTCATCTACTTTTAGAAGTAACCGTTTTTGACGCCAGCTTAACTTGATCCTATTAGACATGCGATGCGAGTAGTTATTGTATACATTTTTATTTCTTCACTGTTAAGGTACCTTATTGTACGATTTTGAGATAATAGTGTTTGATTTAATGAGTATGAGGGTAAATAGACCTGTCAGTGTTATTTCTTTTTAATTTTTCCAATCCCACATGTTTAAAACTTAAATTAGAAAAAAAAATAAGTGTCTTGTGGTGATACAGAAGACTTTGAATAAGTGTCATGGGGCTCATCGTTAATGTTATATTTTCTCTTTATTCTTATTGTAGCAATGTCCAGAGTGCAAATATGATTTTTGCTGGATGTGTTTAGGGGGTAAGTTAGAATATTCTGTGTCCCACCATATTAAATTGCTCTAAATTACAGAAGTTATTAAAAGCAGCTGCTTTAGTGGTGTTTAATGTAATTTGTATTCTCTAAGTTGAATCTGTTAAGTTAAAATTTTTGTTGTGTCCCACAATTTTCACTGTCATATCATTAATAAATTGTTGTGTGGTATGATTTTCACTGTAATGTAGTGATAAATTTCTTCATTTATAATTTGTTGATTGCAGAATATTCTTATCTCTTATATAATGATTCCCCTTAGTCTGTTATAAATTTAAAACATTTTTAAAAATTATGAAGCTAATGTTAAAGTTTAAACTTCACCTCCCAGCTTTACAATCAAGCTTTGGACCAAATTAAGCCTTCTCCAAGCTTATTGCGTAACTTGAAACATGTTCTTTATAACAGATTGGAAGTCTCATGGAAGTGAATATTATGAATGCAGTCGTTACAAAGAAAATCCCAACATTGCCAATGAATCAGTCCATGTGCAAGCCAGGGAAGCCTTAAAAAAATACCTTTTCTATTATGAAAGGGTAAGTGATGTTTCATTGTTGATTTGTGGCTTTGGTACATCCATGTAAACTGCCTGTGGATTTTTTTTTAAAAGAGACAATGTGAGTCAATCCACTGAATTCCTTTATAAACTTTGATATATAATTAAATACACATGTGAATAGCAATAAGTATGGATGTTTCTTAATTGCATAAAAAGATAATAAATATTTTTGCTCTTACTTGAGAACTAAGTTTTACACAGAATAAGTCATATAGTATTTTTTGTAGCGATTCTAAATCAATATTTAATTTCGTAAAAATTAAGCGTTTTAAAAAGATAACCAAAATGAATAATTTTAAAAATTAATTTCCTTGGAACCAAACAAAGTCATCATGCATGATCCTCACAGTTACACTCCCTGAGAGTGGATTGTAAAATTTAAGTTTTGGTCGTTAATAAATGTCAATCAAAAGGAGCATGCTCCTAATTCAAATATTTTTCTCCCAAAGTGGGAAAACCATGCTAAAAGTTTACTGTTAGAGGAGACAACAACAGCAAAAATCACAGCAAGAACTCAGGAGAAAGTCATGAACAACCAAGGCACCTGGATCGATTGGCAGTACCTCCTCATAGCTGCTTCACTGCTCAAAAAGGTATGCTGGTGGCACATGGTTATCTAAACTGTATTATAATGTCACGTCTGGAGCTTTGTTGATGTTGTGAACTAAGTTATAATGAAAAATCCTGGCAGCCTACTTTGAATGGCTTGGGTCTAGTGGTTGAAGCTTGGTTTCCACTTAAAGCTGATTTCAAAACTTAGAAGATGTTAGGGCTTGATTGAACACATGCTTTGTTAATCAGAAGATACAAAAAAACATCTTTAGAAGATGTTAGAGCTTGACGGTTGATGGACCACACACTTTGTTGATCAGAAGATGTTAGTTTATTGTCTTGCTTTCTCTCCTTGTTCTGTGTCATTAAATGATCTTGATTTCTCTACTTGTACAGTGTAGGTACACACTCCAGTACACATATCCCTATGCCTATTACATGGAAAAAGGACCGAGAAAAATTCTGGTGAGTTGGGATCTTTTAAAAAAGTTGTATCTTTTTAACAACGGAAGTTTTTTTATGCTTATCAAAGTGTTGTTTTAAACATTAAGAGAAAACATGTTCATTGTTCATTCATATTAAATATTCACATCAAGTAAAAATGTTTTCCTTAAAGGGATCAAAAGAAGCATTTGCTAAATAAAATAATTATGATTTTTTTTTTTTAGGAGTGAAAAACTTAGAAACTATTTTGCTGTTTGGATCTCTTTGATGTATGTTTTCAACATATTTTTCTTCAAATGAATTTTAACCGGTTAACTACCATGAGCCGCTGGGGGTGGCTGGGCATTTCTTTCGTTATGGCCATGAGCCGCTGGTAGTGCCAAAGCTTGTGTTGTAGTAAACGTGACCTAGATTTAATTCGGCCACAGCGGGTTTTTCAATCTGGTAGCTAATCAGTTGGGCCATATGGTAAATAAGAATGCTTGAGTTTAATGAAACTCATAATTCATGTCAACAATAGGTTTGATTAGTTCAGCGCTATTTAGTGTGAGATTCTCTTGCTTAGTATTTCAGGAAACCATTACAGATTAACTTGATTTTATTTATTTAGCTGATGAAAAATGCAGACTGATCACTTATGCTAAAAGTGGGTTGTGCTGTTTTCTCCCCTCATTTTATCTGTCCTCTCGATTTATATGCAGACATCAATAATGTTTAGGAACGTCTTTATCTCTCTGTGCTCTAGTTTGAATACCAGCAGGCACAACTGGAGGCTGAAGTAGAAAATCTCTCATGGAAGGTTGAGAGGGCTGAGATCTCTGACAAAGGGGTAAGGAATTTTTTTTTTGGGTTGGTTTTAAGGCTTATCTAATGTGGAATCAGTCAGCTCCATATATTTATCTTTCTTAATTTAAATTTTATTTCTGAATCTTTATACTTCTTTAATTAATCGAGAAAGCATTCTACAGTGTTTGGCATGCTGCTTTATGGGCCACCATGAGGCACTACAACATCAACACAGACCTAACCAGAATGATTTGCAACCTCTATGATAAGGCCACCAGTGCAGTCTTCCTCAACAACAACATCGCAGAATGGTTCAAGACCACGATTGGAGTACGACAAGGCTGCCTGCTCTCCCCCTTCCTGTTCAACATCTTCCAAGAGAGAATTATGTCAGATGCTCTTGAAGCGCATGGAGGGACAGACAGCATTGGTGGCAGAACAATCACCAACCTACGCTTTGCCGACGACATAGACGGATTGGCTGGGATGATGACAAATAACACCACAGGCATCACCACTGAAATTAAGGTCGGGGAGGAAGGACTAGAGACTGTAGGCCGCTTCAAATACCAAGGAGCAATAGTCTCAGAAGAAGGCTCCAAGCCCGAACTGATGTCCAGGATTGTGCAGACTACAACAGCACTAAAGAGGCTCAAGAAAATATGGAATGACAAAAATATAGCCCCCAGCACCAAAATCAGGCTGATGCGCTCATTAGTCCTCTCCATTTTCCTGTATGCCTGCGAATCCTGGACATTAACAGCAGATCTTGAAAGGAAAATAAAGGCGATGGAGATGAGATGCTTCAGAAGCATTTTTGGCATCTCCTATAGGGACCATATCTCCAATGATACAGTGAAAGAAAGGGTTCGCCAGGCTATTGGGGAGTACGATGACCTACTGGTGACTGTGAAAAAACGCAAACTACAATGGTACGGCCACGTAACAAGGAAAAAAGGGCTTGCCAAAGAAATATTGCAGGGCACCACAAGAGGAAGGAGAAGAAGAGGAAGACAAAGAAAAAGATGAGAGGATGACATCAAAAAGTGGGCAGGACTAACACTTGGCAATGCTGTGCGTAGTGCAGAAGACTGAGACGATTGGAGGATAGTTCACATGTCATCTGTGGCGCCCCAACGGTCCAAGGACTAAGGGGCATGATGATGAATAAATTTAGATCAGTGTTTTTCAACCAGGGTTCTGCGGAACCTAATGAGTGCTAGCGAGGGGTTCTGCCAGTTGCCTGTAAAAAAATGGCAAAGGGGCAAAGTCTGGTAATAAGGGGGAGAGACTGCAATCAGGTTAGCAAAAAAAAAGAAATGAGTAAAACAAAGTATGGGAAAAACTGAAAAAAGGAGTGCAACAAAACAACTAACGTGTCAGCAAGAAGCATTAGATGGGTTACATTACATATGGAGTTGACAGGTATGCTTGCATTTCACTGGCATTGAATCATGTTTCCCTTGCAGAAATTGTAATCCTATGAAATCAAAGACTAATATTAACTTTTTAACAACAGGTGCTTGAAAATCAAATGGATGTTGCAGAGAAACGAAGACAGACTTTACTTAAGGAATTCTTAGATGTTCAAGTCCTCTAACGATGTGTCAATGAAATCTGCTTGCTCTGTGCATGTGGGGTGAGAATTATTGATTGTGCTGCGACTGTTGTTGGCCCAGTGACACAAGTGGAATACAATCTTGTCTCATGCAGTATTCTTAATCAGTTTGCATCTTTGCGTGTAATGTATAATTGCATTGAACATTGTTTCTGATAAAATAACAGAGTAATATGCAATTAGGTGTATGTTTAGTAAATGAGTAGCAAAAAATGGTGTATATGATTTCAAGGATTTTTTTTTTCAGGTTAAAAATATTCTATAAATAATTAGTCTAAATGAATTAAGCATCAACATGTGCTTTGAAATATTTGACAATTATTCAAGACGTGTTTCATAAAAAGCCTTTAGATATTTGTTTGTTTTTCTTAATTAAGTTTTTTACCCCTACTCAAATTTACTGATAAAAATTTTAGGCGGGAATGTAGACATGAATTTATTAAAATTAAAAAAATAATAATAAGTGTTAGTAGTGTTAGAAGCTTTCACTTTAAATGTTTTTTTAAAAATTTAAATGAATTGTTTCAAACAAGTCGTGCATACACCATGCAATCAATAAGAATGGTATAATTTTGAAGTTATACAAAAAAAAAAAAAAGGACTCTCCTTTACTTTTAATGGGTTAAAATTTGATGTGCTCCTAGATGTGTCTTTGAGATGCATGTTTTGCTCTGCCTTAAATTAGTCATGTACCATCATCTGCCATTCTACCTAGTGCTGTGAGTATTCTGTAAAGCTGTCCTTGTATAAATAAATATTTATTTATTCAAGCTCACCCAACCCATTAATTCCCTGATTACCTGTAAACTGGCTGACTGTTCTGCTTGAGAAGAAGGAGAACTCAGCATTTTTTTCAAACATTGCAGCAAGTTTTAACAAAGATACTTTCATTCCTAGTTTTGAATTGTAATTTTTTTCCCCATCTCCTCTTAACAACCTTCTAGAAGCAACTATTGTTAACTCTTTCCCTGTCTTATATTAAAAGATGGATCACCTCCATATTAAGTAGATTGCCTCAGAACATATTAAAAGTATTAAGTCTTGCCTTATTTAAAGAAGAAATCTTCAGGTAAATTTTCTTCACAATTATTTGTTGATAAATTCAAGTCACACAGTTATATAAAAGTAACATTGGAAGATTTTAAAATTAAATTCATTGCCAAAAGTCTTCACAGTGATGCAGGCAAAGAGTTACATTCATGTCTTATCTAATAATTTTCTTGTACCAACTGTGAAAAGCATTAACATCGTTCATTATGTTCTTACTTGATGATTTTTTTAATGGCTTGAATGTTTAACTGGAGTATGGTGTTTACAATGAACTTAATATGAATGGGTGTAAAAAAATAATCTTTTTTACTGTAATTATAATTAAAGCTGCATTTTATGTATATTTCTTGCAAATATTCTCCATTAATATCTTGCGTATGTATTTATTCTTAGATTTTTTTTTGTGTTCAGCTGAATGACTTAAACTGTATGGCTCATGTGACATGTGCATTAGTCATTCGATTAGCTTGTTTAGATATATCCTGTGTTAAGGCTTGCTTTATCATTACTGTAATTACATTTAATACTTCACAATAGCTGGTAATTTTTTTTGGTATGTTGTGCTTTAATGCATATATGTTGACAAAGTGCTTGTCTTGGAACATTTTCTTCATTTTTTTTTTTGTAGAAAGTTAAAAAGTGAGAGTTAATCATTGTATTTTTTTCCAAAAAATAATTTGCATTTCCATTAAATAAATTTTAGTTTCTGTTTATAAATACTTAAAGGCTCTTACCAGATGCGGTTGCTAAATGTTTTTTTGTTTTTTTTCAAAAAGCTAAATTATAGATTTAACCAGACAACTTTAATTGTTGTCATCAGAAATTGTTGTAACTGCTAAATATCACAAATTACACATTCTCAGTTTGTGTGCAGAAATTAAGGTGTCAAAGAAGTGTTAATGGCATTAGGTCAATTTTGAACATCAGTTATTGTTCTGTCATCATTGATCAATTGTGTGGTTTATTGGAATTTTGTTTTCTTTTAACAAACAGTCATTATTTCCTTCCCTACAGAAAAGATATATTTCTGTGTCACAGAAAAGATATATTTCTGTGTCACCTCTGTGTGTTGTTAGAATAAACAAATCAAGGCTCTGTCAAACCAGTAATTGTATGTTTGCTGCCCATCTCTGAAATATACTAATCAACTCTCCATAAAACTAAATGAAGATAAGTGTTAGAATGTGTTAGTTTGAACTTTTGTTTAAGTTAAAATCTCTCTGCTTATTCTCTGCAGTTACTTTGGTTTGTGAATGAAATGGCAGTTACCGGTTAGGTTGTCACTATGTCTAGATATGCAAAAGGTTGTATAATTTATGATTGCTACTACTTGATATCCCGACAGTCAGAATAGTTTTCCTATTTCACTCAACATGACACCTCATCTTAATTTTCAGCCACCGTTGGATGCTCATTAAAAATAATGATGTGAATCAATTTATGTATTAAAATAAATTATGTTAATAATTTTACTTCTCCGATTCTAGTTTAAAAAAAAAAAAAGTATGGACATTTAAACGAAATTGTAACACCACTGTAACATTGATGATGGTAATTATTCATTTTAAGTCTCTGGAAACTCTTGTTCAGAATTAATAATAATTTTTGTGTTTACCACAATCATTAGTTCCTCGTAAACCCTGCAGATGCTATTTCTACTCCTGGGTAGTTTCTTGAATTCAACAGTTGCATATATTTACACGAAGGTAATTCACATTGCCCAAATAAGCTTTATAGTACTTGTGAAATTAAAAAGCAGATTAATATACCCGAAGCACTAGTCTTAGGTATTGTATTGCACAACTGTTAATGTAGTCTGGGTGATACGTTTTTTTGTGCTTTTTTTGTCATCTGAGTTATCATATCAACATCTTTAATTAAAGTTCAAGAATGAAAATTTAATTTTTTTTTTTAAAAAGCAAAGTTCTTCCTATAATTATATATATATGTTATTATAAATAGAAGAATCTTCTGTAACACCTGATTTTTTATTTCCATTATTTGTTACTATTTCAGCAGACCCACTTTTGTTGCTGTAAATAAGAAATGATTGATTCCTTAAAACAGTGTAACAAAGTCCGGTAAATAGTTTACTGACCCTTGAACTAAATTAGAAATGTAAGTTACTATTGTTTCAATTATAATGTTAGACTAATTATAACTTACATTTCTCATTTCCTCACTTAAGTAATTTTTTTTAACAAAAGTCTCCTATCTGTGGTAAAGTAAAGTGAACTGTTTGAAAATTATGAACTATCCCTAAGTAATATTCTTTAAAATAAAATTAATAATAAACAAACCAGTTAAGTCAGATAGCAAATGTAAAAGTTCATCATTTTTTTTTATAATGGGTCCGCCCTGTTCAATTCAGGGCTACGTATGGCATGGTTTATGTCATACCTAGAACTGCTATGCTCTGATGATACATAACTGAGACACAACATTCCCCTATGTATGCAACAAATATGTACAGTCTTTTACCATTATACTTGATTTTTTTTGTCATTGGCTGATTCATTGAATTCACACATATTAGAGTACATGTATATATAGATGCTGAGTATGAGATTGACTTTGGTATTGTAGCTGACATTTTCTTTTCTTTGAATAATTGATTTAGTAAGTAAGAGGGAAAATGAGTTGAAATAACTATCATGAATATTATCATGCCTTTGTATGAGTTGTGCCATTCTGTTTCACCAAATCTAGCTTCCATAATGTGAATGGCTAGTATGAAGTTTATTTTAATGGATATTGTTTTGTCTACCTGTGAAAGGTTTTCTCTGAATGTACCTAAGTTATGGAAAACTGTTATTAAAACCATATTCAATTACTGATGAAGCTGTTGTGTGGTTTTAATTATTTTAAAAAAAATTAGCTTATTCATGCAGAGCAAAATTACAAAAATTAATAAAATTATTTACAAACTCAACTTATGAATATAGAGGTGTGGTGTAAAATCAAACATACAGTAACATGTATTTTCTTTCTTTATTGAAAATATATCAACAGAAGCCAATTTTGTTTTCTAAGTTATATATATTTTTATAGATACAGCATTTTGATAGTAATAATTAAAAATGCCGGGTGAAATACATAAAATATTACATACACACAATGTACAAGAATGTTCAGATAAGAACTATCTTCCAGTATTTGGAAAAATAAATATCACTGATCTTAAAAGTGAATTACGATCAAAGATTATTTGATAATTTGCAGTGGTAACTTTTTCCCGATTTTAGAAGCAAGTTCATCAAACAAAGTTAAATTATTTTCAGCAGGTACATTCATCTGTCTTACAATGGTGCAGCACATCTTATCATGTTTGTGTCAATGTAATGGAGCTCACAAATTTATTTAGTCTGTGACACTTGACAAACAAGTCCTGACAAATCTAAAACAAATCAACACTTAAAGACATGCAATCAGTCATCATTCTCACTACTAGACCCAGAGTAGCCACCCAAAAGTCCTAAACCCAAACTAACTGTTGGTTTAGTATCTTCACTGATGTGCCCACAGGAAGAAATCGTTGTACCGCCGTCACCCCCTGTGACTGTTTCTTCTTCTTTAATAACCCCTTTCAAGACTCCCATCATTGTTTCATGTGAAGCTGTGAGCTCCAATTTCACATCAGATATTGAGGGCAACTGTGTGGACCCGCAAGTAGATGTTTTGGGCACTGTCTTTCTTTTGACTAGACCAGATAGTGCTGCCTTGGTTGAATAAGATCCTGTACCTTGCAGACGAAACTCGTTTTTTTTCTCATCTGTATTGTATTGTTCCAGCTGTGAGAAAGAACACAATACATATTTTAAAAACTGAAACCAGAAGGAAAAGCTTTACTTTTTAAAATTAACAAACGGCAAATACCAGCTGCACTTTATTAAAATAGTTTTATCATTTTAAAAAATATAAATACTTATTCCACTTAGTGGAGGTGATTATGTGTTTTCCCAGAAAAGATCCTAAATAGCTCCCTCTGATGCCATTAAATGGAGTTTTGGAGATATGGAGAATGTAATAAACTTACCGTACTTTCTTTAAATTTCAGCTAATCATATTATATTATTGCCCACAAGTTACCTGGGAAACTACTTTATGGTGTGGGCAAGGGAATTCAATTTTCAGAATGAGTTTAAATAACTTTGTTTAAGAATGGATATTTTTTAACAGTTCAATTGAAATATGATACATAAAAAAAAACTTACAGCTAAAAGATCAGTAGGCTTGGCAGTGGTGATTGTTTCTTGTCTGGCTTTTTTGGCCTGAAGTGATTTCTCCTCATCACTGTCATCCTCATGAATTCTCCTGACTGTTTTAAGTGTTGCCCCTTTTCTGAGAATTTCTCTGTTAACAAAAAGCAAAGAAGGCATCATGAATTATTCAAATGGGAATCTAATTATATTCTTTGAATTGACATATCAGCTTTGGCGGCCCTGTGGCTTGGAAGCATGCATGATTTATCACTGATACATCCAAGTTAAACTTAAACATATTTGATAAAAAATATCAATAAAACCAAATCAATGGCAAGATAAACAACAAATATCAATTATAAAATGGTTGAGAAAACTATTTTCAAAACAATCGTAATGTGGTTATATTTCAAAAAGAAACACTTCAATAAGATGTTAATATTTTATACATAAATCACAATCATCATCACCTAAAAGTACTTATTTACTGTAGGGCTACAACAATAACAAATAAAGGGACCTGTAATTTATCCCATGCTGTTCTAAAAATCATTAAAACTTTTCTCTTTTTTTTTAAAAAAAATGTGTTTATATTTTAATAATTAAAATTATTACATCGTAATATAATAATAATAAATATAAATAAATGAGTTCCAGTAGATTTTTTAAACTTAAAAAGAGTAATTAAATTTGTTCCCTACTGAACAAGTTTGTCTTCCTCCTCCTCCTGAAGCTTGAGAAGCTGTTCTTCATAGGCCATGTGCTGTTGCAGCATGGTTATATGGTCTACTTTAGCATGACGAGCATTCATTTCACGTAGCTCTTCCAGCTGATCAAGCTGCTCCATCTCATTACGACTGGCCTTGGTGCGATTCTCAAGCACCTATACAGCATGAAATTGAGCATTTTATTCTCCTTATAAACTAAACAGTGAACCCTCCATATTCGTCCATGTCACTACTCATCTTTTTTTTTTATCAGTCTTGTTTTTGTGTACAAATTTTCGCTTGATATTCGCCCAAAAATTCGATACCCTGTGAACCATTCAGTTTCGGGTAGTGATTCAAAGTTCTACTTCACTTCTTTTAAATATCTACGAGTTTTTTGCAGCAACTTTAAAAGAAATTTGTGTCCATGGTTTCTGGAACCAGTTTTTATTTATTTGTTTTTTGTATTGAATTGTAGTTAATATTTTTTAAAATTTATGTTAGAGTTGAGTCCCTTGTTTATTGTTACAAATTTTGTACAAAGAGGCAGATGCAGAGGAAGGTGACTCCCCGACCAAACAAAAGTCTAGGAAATAAAAACTTTTAACAAAAATCATTGTTATTTTCACTGCTTCATGTAGAACAATGGACCTTGGGTAAGTGGGGAACACACATTTACCACTTACATCTATGTTTTGTTTTTTTTAACAAAGAATTAAGAGGCAAAATTCTGGGTTGGGAATGGATTAAACTATTTTTATTTGATTCCTATGTAAAAAAATTTGTCTGATAGTCATCTGTATTGATGTTTGTCCTTCTCTCTGGAATGGATTTCTCTAAACTGAAACTATCGTATTGTCAAAGAGATTCAAATGGAATTATAGAAGCATCAGTTTTAAATAATACAATTTTTTTAAATATAATTTTTAAAGTGCATCTCAAGCAAATCTTAATGAAAACATCAAGAGGTTTTCCATAGATTCCTGCTATTAAATAGTGAAATTTTAAATATTTTTCTATATGGAAATCACAACTGGGATGAGTTAATTTCAAATTAGATAATTCTTGTATGTCTGTTTAGAACTAATGTTAGGAAATATACCCTTTGGAATAGCATTTTATTTTCAGAATATGCAAGTGTGTGCCCTTTAATAGTGTCATTGTGTGAAGAGAATTATAAGCTTTGATTACCAGGAGTTGAAATCGTTTAGATTATCCAAACACAGTCAAATTCAAGACAAGAATCTTGTATTTAATTTTTTTTAAAAATTGGCTTACTTTCATTGGGTTCAATTCATCCTCTTCTTTTTCTTTTCTTTCTTTCTCTGCCATTTGATGAGCCAGCTTCTCTGCTTCAAACAGCCTAGTAGCTCCTGCTTCAAGGGCATAGTCTGTATTTGCCAAATCTGTCTGTATATTTAAAAAATCACCAAAAGAAGTCATTTAGATAGTTATTTAAAAATGATCAAAAATATATTTTTAAAAATCACCAAAGACATTTTTTTAAATATCTAAAAAGCAAGTTATTTTTTAAAAATAAGCAATAATGGATTATTGGATGTTTTCTGGCTTGTTCTCAAGAGGAATAAGACCAATTTTAAAGTAAGGAAAAACATGTATTCAATTTTTTTAAATTGTCCTACAAATGTGTTTTAAATTTCCGAAATAAATTATTACCTTAAATGCTATTTCAGCAACACACCTTGGGCATTTGATATAAAATCTGAAAATGCGCAAACCAAGGTAGTCTTCATCATCAACGTTTTCCTTTCGGGAGTTGAATTTTTTCCCTTTGTAGATGTACTCTCCACATGTGTTGCATCTGTAAAATATATTTTAAATTTAACTATAATTTAAAAATAAAAAAGTAAATGTGACGGAGACTAATTTTTAATAGGTAAAATGTCTTTTTTAAAAGGATTTTTTTCTTTTACTTATGGTTAGTGAATGTTTCAGTTTAAAAAAAATTAATCCAACATAAGGAATTCAAGTTTTGTGCCAGAGATGATTTTCAATTTATTTCAATGCTTTTCAAAAATCAGCAGCACGTCAGGGGACTTTGATGTGTCAGTTAAACCCTCATAAATGATTATATAATACGTTCCCAGAAAATTTGTCAATTTGTTCTTACCTCATATTGAAAGGTGCCATGATCCTAATGCTAAATGTTCTATTCTTGGGCTGTTTAAGCTTAGGAATCTTAGATGGGTCGAATTCTGGGGGGTAGTATTTCTGTTGGCAAAATATATACAACATATTTACACTGCCTATTACACATTTTATATCAATGAAAGTCCTACAAACATATGGGAAATATCATGAAGGGATCATATGAAGCAAGAAATACATTACTAGACATCGTCTGTCATGAAATGTACAGGTTAATGGAAAGAGATAAAGACCACAGAACCATGGAAGAAACGTAACAACTTTATTGTATTCCTTTCGATATGCTGCAAGAAGTCTCAATGACCTGCGGTCCCTCCTTCTTTAATTAAAACATGTGTGCTACAGTTGTACAGTGTTAGGAGAAAAGCATAAAAATGAATTTTAAAATAATTTTAAAAAATTGTTAATATTCAAATAATAAAACCCAACTTGCAGTTTCATCAAATACACTTATACACACTTATTAAAAAGCTGTCAGAAAAGTCAAAATCCATTTTTCAAAATGATCAAATGGTCAGACCAGCAAAATAACCTCATTTTGAAATAAAATTACCATGCTATGAAATATTGATAAGAAACTATCAATCAAAAACATTCTATAGGCAGACTTGGGGAACTATCAAAATACTAAAATATAGTATCAGAACAGTACTTTACCATCTTAAAACGTACAATACCACATTGAAATGGTAAATAAGTAAACCTACAGTATAATGTATGCAATAACTATTCGCATCGCATGTCTAATGAAGGTCACTTCCCAAAGTAGATGACTGACATTCTGTGTTGGGGGTCTCAGATTTGTGACATAAAAGAACACCACCACGTTTGATTCTGTGCTGTATTACGTACATTTTTTACATAATTATTTCTTTCTTCAGCTGAACGCCAATAATGCAAAAATGGAGAAAACTACATTTCTGTTTGTTTTGGAAATGCATCCCCAACTGTTGAGCGTTAGATTTTGACATTTTTATAAGATCTTGTAAGAATCACTCCCCTTTGTTTATTCTCGTGTTGTTACTAGAGTTAACCTTTCTTTAGTTACGATGACGGAATGTTTTGAATTAAAATTTCATTGTTTGGTTAATTATAATATTTACATTTCCGGCATTTTGGAAAATGGGTATATATTGTCTTTTCTTGATTTTCTTACAACTTATGGAATTTTTTTTTATAAGAACCTGAAATAAAGTGTATTAACGTATATTCTCTGAGACTTTAATTTGGGATTTCATTATTTTTTTACCTATAGGGATACAATAAAGTAGCTTTGCTCTTCACAAAATTGATGTACCGGTTGAAATTATTTCATTGAAATTTGTAGTTTTTCCTTTTAATTTGTTGAATTTTTCCCCTTTTTTTTGCTTTACATGGCCATGGCTGCCATTCAGGTTGTCGTACTCATAACCCATTATTTTTCACAGGTCATGGCAACCAAGTTGGTGGCCATGTGAAACCACCATGGTGCGTATAGACCCAATTTACCAAGATTCTTTTTTAAAAAATATCACAAGTACTTAATATTTTATTTTATTTTTCTTAAATTGAATGTGACTGTGAAATAAATGTTTTGTAAAAGTGGATGGTTAATTAGAATATTTTATATGTCAATATAGTTCAGTGACATGGAAAAAAATGTGCAATTGCAAGGGGTGGGGGAGCACTAATTGTCAAATACTTGATCGATATTATATCATTTTATAAAGGATTTATATTAAAAACTTTGTTTTAGAGGTTGTAATGTTGTTTATTTTACTTTTTTTTTTACCAACTTAAGTCACCAGTGCCAGCCTTAAAATGCTGGCAGCCCGGCCCCCTTCCTATATTCACCTATGTGAGTTATATTCTATCGCGATAATTCATTCAAATTAAATCAAGGAACACATGTAAGGTGCACTTACATTTAAAACCTTTCGTTCTGACATGGTGATCCAGATGTAATGAAAACTCTTCTTGGATTTCCAGCCAAAACGTCTATTTTCTATTTATGCCAAGTGACCCGGAAGTAAACAAAAGAATTTGGTCCTCTGTTAAACATTATATGCTTGTTTTATTTCAGCTAAATGATTTTAATTTTTTCTTACTTCCATTATTTTTTTTTTTACATTTTGTAGGGGGAAAAAAGGTATTTTTAATACATAAAAAAGACAAAAAATAAAAACTTCTCCCACAACTTATGAAGTATTTGCATATTATAAATTTTGAAGTTTAACTAAAGGGGGTGAAGAACGGTCTATATCGGTGTTTCCCAGCGTGGAGCCTACGCCCCACACAGGGGGCAATTTGATTGTTTATTGGGGGGGGGGGGCCTAATTCGAAAATATTAAGTCATATTTGATTAACTTTCAAAATTTAAATATATTTTTTGACAAAAATAGCAACATTAAAGTCTCTATTCACTGCTCACGCTGCAACTGTCAATTGTACTATTGAAGCTAGCTATGAAATGTCCTTACTCGTTGCTATATGTGGGACAAATCATGCTACAGGAGATATCAAACCATCAATATCAGCATTTCTTAAAACTGTTGTGGAAAAAAGATGACAGAGACGTGAAAGCTAGGCCACTCATTAACAATACTGTTAGCAGAAGAATAAACAAAATGAGTGAAGATATTGAAAAACAACTTGCTGAAAAGATGAAAACAAGAAAATTCTCAGTGCAAATGGATCAATCAACTTTCAGAGACAGCGAGGCTGTATTTGTAACTTACGTAAGATCTATTGATAAAGGGCATTTTGCTGGAAAAATGATGTTCTGTAAATCATTAGAAAGCATCAGTACCGCCTGAGATATATATAATAAGCTAAAAAATTACTTAGATGTCAATAATATACCAATGAAAAATATAACATCTTGTGCTGCAGTTGGTGCTTTTAATATAACGGGCAAGAAAAATGGCTGCTTAAAATTGAAGAAAGGTGAGAATTTAGAAATCCATCCACCCCTGTGGCGCTACAGCTCATGTAGGGCTTTGGCATGCCTCACCACTTCCTTCCACTCAGACCTAACTAATGCCTTTCTTTTCCATGCTTGGACTTTCAGTTGCTGTATATCTTTTTCTACATCATCTATCCACCTAAGCCTAGGTCTGCCTTTGAGCCTTTTTCCTTTGGGGTATTGGTGATGCACCCTCTTCGTTCCTCTGTCATTTGGCATCCTCTCTAGATGTCCTGCCAAGCGTAGCCTGCCTCTTTTTATTTCTGCCCCTATCGTGGGATCCTGATATAGACTGTATAACGCCTGGTTGGTTCGTATTCTCCATCCATATTCATCCTTTGTTGGCCCATATATTTTCCTGAGAACTTTCCTCTCCCATGTGTTTAATAGGTTTTCTGCTTAGAATTTAGACATGCATTGTGTTATTTATAGGGAAAACTTAGTAGCTAAAAACATTTCGCCTTTTCTAAATGAAGAACTATAATCAATTATAAAGTGTATCGATGCTATTAAAGTTAATGCCAAATGTGAACGTCTTTTAAAGCTATTTTGTGAAGAACAAAATGCAGATATATGAGTTTTCCATCTTGGATGATGCAGCCAATTTAAGTGGAATTGTATGATATATCAAGTATGCAGTATCAAGAAGAACTCGCAGAAATACAAAATGAGAAGTCAGTTAAAACTTTAGTTAATATAAAAGAAGCAATGGGGTGGCTTTTTGAGGAAACAGAAATCAAATATCCAGGCTGGTCCACTGCTCCACCATTTAACAGAAACTCGCCCCTCTCCCCCCCTGGACAGCGACGAGGCCATGACAGGCAGTTCCAGTTCATACCAGCAAGAACGCAGCACAGGAACTGCTCATGCCTTCTAAAGGCAATCAAGGTCTGGAACATACTTCTAAAGGTAACAGTTGAGGTGACAACACTTGACACATTTGTGTCTATTGCCTCAGGCCTTCCAAACCACAGTTCCTGATGCCTTCACTGAACAGCCCTTGCAACCAGTGAACTATCCTCAGCACAGGCAGGCGCGGAAACATTGCACATCCCTCTCATATATAGGAGCCAGAATGATCGTGGGCCCTTAATCTATAGAAGAAGATATATGTAGGACTGTCTGTTGGACTGTCTGTACAACTATATGTAGGACTACCTGTAGGACTGTCTGTAGGCCCACTGTTTCAAGGTCGGCAGTTAGGGTGTAGGACTTCTGTAGGACTAATGTTTAACGGCCGGCGTATACTACAGAAAATTAGAAGAAAACTTTTTTTCTTTTGTAACACTAGGGCTCACCGGATAATGGCTCAAAATACCTGGACCCGGTGTTAAAAAAAACTGCACCCGATTAAGCCCTAGTTTTAAATACTTCACAATGTTTGGCATGAAATTAAAAAAAAAAAAACTTTACGATTATCCGCTCATCAAGTGTGGGATAATAATAATAATAATAAAGTTCATTTAAAAAACACGCTTCATCCCCAAAGGCTCGAAGCGCGGTACAAAGTCAACCAAAAACATATCTATAATTCACCACATTTAAAACAAACACAACACTACAAAAACTAAATACAAGCATACAATATCAAAGTCTTTCTAGCCATTTCAACCCGGAGCAACACAGCAACACATGGAAAATAAGGTAGACAATCATCCCAGAAGGTATTTGCGAAATAGATGTGTCTTTAGATCGGTTTTAAAGGACTCCAGTGTCTGGTTGTTTCTAAGATCGACAGGAAGGGCGTTCCAAATTGTTGGACCAGCAAATGCGAAAGTGCGCTTTCACGTGGTGTCGAGAGTTTGCCACTATCGGATGAGCGGAGCTCTCTACTGGGTACATAAGGCGTCAGCAGCTCTTTCAGATAGGACGGCGCCAGGTCATGTAAGCAGCGGTAGGGATATTTAATTCTTTTTATGTAAGATTTTTTAAAAAGATGTGTAATCTATGGAAAAAAAAGTTGGCGTAACCAAAGCGCACCATTTACTATTGCCGCCCCGCTGGCACATACGCAGACAGGTGTGACCTCGTTACCACCCAAAACCACTTTCGTTTGGTCTTTATTGAGGAAAGAATTTTAAGCTCCGCTGGTTTTAGTGATCAACTGCGATTTAAGTCGTCCGCGTTCGGGATCACAAATGGATGGGGTAAAAACACGTTTGCCAAAAATTAGGTTTAAACAACCTGCTACCATAATGCTTTACGGTGGTGCATTCCAGTAGCGTTGAGATAGGGCCTGCGGGTTTACACTCATTATAATAGTTTAAAGGTTAAAATTGCTCGCTTGAGTCTTTTTTCCTACCAAATTTAAGCTAAATAAAAGAGCAAGGTACAACCAGAGCAGGGTTCTTCCACCAAGTTAGCACCAGAACAGGTTACCACAAGAGAAGTATGCCACCCGAGGAGGGCCACATGAGAGCAGGGTGCCGCCAGAGCAGGGCTACAGGAGAGCAGGGTGCCGCCAGAGCAGGGCTACAGGAGAGCAGGGTGCCAACAGAGCAGGGCTACATGAGAGCAGGGTGCCAACAGAGCAGGGCCAGATGAGAGCAGGGTGCCAACAGAGCAGGGTTACATGAGATCAGGGTGCCGCCAGAGCAGGGCTACAGAAGAGCAGGGTGTCGCCAGAGCAGGGATCCACCAAAACAGGGTGCCACTACAGCAGGTTGGCACCAGAGCAGAGTGCCACCTGGTGGAGTCCACAAGGAAGTCTTGAGGGGGTGATTACTATGAATTTACCGCGCTTTTTGACACCAACCCATTGACGACCCTGGGGACTTCTAAGTGATAAGGTTGGATAAGGATTTGGGGGGGGGGGGTTCGTTTTTTTTCTTCTTCAAAAGATGGTTACATGAGGTGGGCGGGGTATTCAGTTATGTCCCAGTATAAAACGAGGACGTGACTATTTTTAACTGTGGCAGTACCCGTTCTATATTTTGCATTCTATGTATTTAATATTAAACGACTGCATCACCAGTTTATGGGGTAAATAAACATCTTGTCAAATTGTGCGCCTTAAGTAACAGACGTGCCGAGTTTTGAATTCAAGCTTCACCATCTAAATATATATATATATATATATAACTAAGTTATTTTACCCAAAAGAAAATAGACTGAATATTTAATTAGTTTTCATTAGTTAGTTTACTTATTAAGACTTGAAAATTAAGGATCATTGAAGAACTTAGAGAGAAGAAACTCGGGCATGTAAGGATTCTTTAATAGAGATTTGAGCTGATATTAGTCTATCGACTGAAATGTTCAGGGACGGTGAAAATAGTGTTCAGTTTTCTTATGAATAGAAAAGTGAAAAGAAAAAAAGAGATTTCAAAGTAACATCAAGTGATACTCTATTTAAGTGAAGAAACAGACATCTCAAGCGTTGCCTTTACGGACATCTCAGGAGTTGCCTTTACGGACATCTCAAGCGTTGCCTTTACGGACATCTCAGGAGTTGACTTTACGGACATCTCAAGCGTTACCTTTACGAACATCTCAAGAGTTGCCTTTACGGACATCTCAAGGGTTGCCTTTACGGACATCTCAGGCGTTGCCTTTACGGACATCTCAAGAGTTGCCTTTACGGACATCTCAGGCGTTGCCTTTACGGACATCTCAGGCGTTGCCTTTACGGACATCTCAGGCGTTGCCTTTACGGACATCTTTAGAGCTGCTTTCGCGGGTTTTATCTGGTGTTTTTTATTTTGAAGCATTTCCAGGAAAAATGGATTCAATTTTATTTTAAAGCGATATAACATTGGGTCACATTTCCCAGCGGCCAAAGCTACAGGAATTATGGCCATGGATTTTGGCCGCGGCTTAATAATGGAGATCATTTATGTCTTGTTGTCGGTAATTTTGACTTTAACACCTGCACAAGGTAAGAAGAATTTTGGAATTTATATTTTTAGTTGATGTGTTTTTTGTTTAAATGTAATTTTGCGAGTGATCTGAATGTCTTTCTTTGGGCATCTTTGGCATCCTTCCACTTTAAGCTTCACACAATTTGTGTAAAATAACATTTTGCTATTTGCTGTGCATCGTGTTTGTACAGGGCCGCTCCAATAAAAATGGCAGATAGTTAAGTAATTACTGTGAAGGACACGCATTTAAAATAGTTTTGTTTGAAAAGCTGTACAAAGCTGTACTCGTAATTTACCTTTAATACTGCAAAACGTAATCCCATGCCCTTCTCCCACACCCCACCCCACACCCCCGGGGGCATTTTAAAAATTTATATGGAGGGGCGGCATTTTCGTTCAACTGCAGAGTTTTTCCGTAGATATGGGTGTCTAAATTCTTGATCCCCCCCCCCCTCCACCTCGGGTGGCACTTACCCTAGCTACGCCACTGCTATCATTGACGAATGTTATCAGTTTGAGACGTGAACAACGACTTGTCAATCTAACAAAGGCGGGTATGCCGCGCCATGAGTGCCCTATTGCCGAAAAATGAACACTAAAATAGATTTTAACTTTAAATTACGATCACAAAAGTCGATCTGAAATCTAGTGACACTGCTTGCGTCTCAACACGGACTTTGCTCAGTTAGCTTTAGAATCTGACTTAGACCTGGTCTAAATCCTCAAACTATTTATTGTGTTACAGGCAATCTGCCCCACGCTTCGTTTGCCCCATTTCATTTCATCACTGGTTTCTCCTTCAATCACTCTAGTTTGCGTTGAACCAGTGGTTCCCAAACATTTCATTTCATCACTGGTTTCTCCTTCAATCACTCTAGTTTGGCGTTGAACCAGTGGTTCCCAAACATTTCATTTCATCACTGGTTTCTCCTTCAATCCCTCTAGTTTTGCGTTGAACCAGTGGTTCCCAAACATTTCATTTCATCACTGGTTTCTCCTTCAATCCCTCTAGTTTTGCGTTGAACCAGTGGTTCCC